AATTGAATAAAAAGAAAAAAAAAAAGAAACAAGACGTGTCACATAAACAAGTTTGTATATGATTTACCAAGGCTCGTTCTTTTTGTATCAAAGAGGCATCTTGTGTGGGCATCTCTCTCCTAACAGGTAGTTTGTTTCTCCTCTGAGTCTGAGTAGCTGCAGCAACATTCTGACTCCCAGCTTCAACAACTTCCTCTTGGGTTGATTGTTGTTCTGGGTTTTTCTTTGGCCTCCCTCTTGGATTCTATCAATAATTGTAATTGAAATCAGTTATAGCATAATCAGTTGAAAATCAATTATAGCATAATCAGTTATAATACCTTAGGAGGTTTTTCAACTTGGGGATTAGTACAAGACTTCTTGTTATGTCCCTTCTGGAAACACCTTTGACAAGTCATAGTTAAACCAAACCTTCTCAACTTAGTTCTACATCTCAACTCTTCCTCTGGAGCTCTTCTTCTCTTTTTCTTAGGTCTACCTGGCATTTTCTTGAAAGGAGGTGGTTTGATTGGGTAGNTCTTCTTTTTTTCTTAGGTCTTCCAGGCATCTTCTTGAAAGGAGGGGGTAAGATTGGATAACCTTCTGCAGCTGGCCACATTTTTTTTCCATTTATGGGTTCCAATGAGGTGCTATACATACTCAAGTACCTCTCAGTATAGAAATACTCAGACACAAAGTCTGCAGGATCTTTATGCTGAAAGTGTATTGCTGAGCAAGCATGCACACAAGGTATCCCTGTTATATCCCATTGTCTACAAGTACATGTATTATTCCTCAAATCCACCACAAACTGATCATCTTCTAAAGCAACCTGAAACCTATCACCAACTGCAGGTTTTGTGACACACACTCTTGACAAATATTTGTTCTGTTCTACCTTTGATCTTATTCTAGGACAAAGCTTGTCAGGATGTCCACTCAACTCCATCAATTTCCCATGTTGTCTATTCATTAGTTCAGTCCTTACAAATTCAAGCATCTCAATGATGTGGCTTCCTCTTCCCTTAACTATAAACAGACAAAAGCCTTACAAAACTTTGAAGGATCTTTCTTGATAAATTCTTCATAAGCTTGTTTGCATTCTGCCTTCAAGTCCTCCAAAGCAATGTTGTAGTCTCCAAGGTGAGTGCTTAGAACAATTCTCCAGAACAAATTTTTCAAAGTTTGCCCCTTGAATTGCTTCTTCCAATTCATGTAGACATGTCGAGCACAATTTCTGTGCTCAGCATTTGGAGCCAAGTCCCTTAGAGCATTCAACAAACCCTACAAACAAAAAATTATTTAGAACATGCTAATGTTTGAAATTAAGAACAAAAACTCAAAATTGCACAGAA